AAAAAACAACACACATAATTGTAAAATCAATACATTCATCATTTCGTTCAGAATCTAAAAGCCATGAGAAAAAAAGCCAAATTACAATAATTAAATATATAACCATTAAAATTAAAGTATTAAAATAGGTATTATTTAAAATTTTTTTACACATTATTGGTCATATTGTATATATATATAATTATTGATACACAGGTTACTATGTTATTATTSATAGTAATAAATATATTTTTGATCCTAAACAGCAATGAATTTATTGATTTTATTAACCAAAAAGTTTAAATTAAAAATATTAATTTATTAATTTATTTCCAGATAGTATTTTATACTGCGACATGTACATTTAAAAAAGAATCACCCTCTACAAAATAAATACATGATACTTATACATATCTAGGRTGTAAGACATAAATTAATTGATTTCAAGATAATATCCACAAAATATTGTATTATTTTTATTCAACGTATATTATAATATTAACAATTTTATTTTTATATGTGAATAAGGACAATACAGTATGATCAACTGTGTTGAAAATTTTAAATTAATTAACATAATATATAACCTGTGTAGCTGTGTATTAATAATTATATATATATATGTAGGTATAGAATATGACCAATATTTAACAATTTTCAATAATACTTTAAATATTATTTTTTTGTGTACCTATGTAATTATAATTATTTTTTATATATTTGACCAATAATGTGTAAACAATTTTTAAATAATAGGTACCCAATTGCATACTTTAATTTTAATTGTTATATGTATATTTAATTATTTAAATTTGACTTTTTTTTCAGTGGCTTATTTTTCCCATGGCTTTTTTCTCTGGGTTTTTTGTCTGACTACCGTTATGTTCGGTGTGCAATGACGAAGAAAGTGCAATATACGATTTTACAAGACCGCGMGCGGAGTGCTTCATTATATAATCGTACTTGTAAAAACGGTCTAAACCTCTATGGCGATGCAACATTTCCAACTTACTAACCTGAGTAATAATGAATAATTTAACTAAAACAGGGGGACCAAACTTAAGAGGACGATACACCCGCACGTGTTGTCTCCGGCTTACACGCGTACACTACATGGCAAATTTTCGTTATTAAAGTAGAGGTACTGTTATAGCTTTAAAAAAAGAGCGTCACCATCACTTGTTAAACGCTATTAAGCCGTGGGGCTAAAATTAAAAAAAAATAGTGTAAATATTATATTATATATTATAATTATAAACTATATAACTTATAAAATATAATAACAAACTCAAAAATAAATAAATAAAAAATAATTAATTTTAATTATCTATTTGAATAGTTCCATAATTTATTATAGGTTATAGGTATGTTCCTTGTCTTCCAATTTTATCTTTTTTGGACAGCGGTTTACTTTTGCATCTCTTACAATTTAATATTCAAGTTTTTACATAAAAAAAAAATTATGTTATCACGTACATTTTGATAAGAATGCATCATTCTGCAGCATCCCTCTTAAAAATAAAAGTAGGGGTACGCTTAAATTTGTGAAAATATAGTTGGGGTACTCTATCCCTTTCCAAGTCGAGAACGACTGCCGACTTACTATATAAAGAAAGGTATGAATAGATTTATGATATTTAATATTTTATTTTAAATAGTCATTGTACACCTATACGGCTATACACAAAATAAATATAATAATAATAATATTTTAATTTACAACACTTAGTTGGTATCTAATTTTGTCAAAATTTTAACTTCAGGACTATTAAAAAAATATGCCTTGTTATTTTATTAGTGGGTACAATGGGTACATGAAACTTTTAAAGTTTATTATTATATTTTATGTACAGCAAAGCTATACCCACCCACTTGCTGAGGTACAATTGGCACCCACTATACAGCAGAGTGACTTTAATTTGTAATGTACCCTATTTAATATACTAAAAAAATATAAGTAGATTGTTGTATTTTCAAAATAAAAATAATTATGAACTCATGGTTTAAGTTGTCAATCAATCACGCAGTAAATTTTTCATTGTGGACCATTATGTAAGAGTAAATTAGAACTTAGTTGTCCAATTGATAATGGATTATAAAAAATCTGAAGGAACATATTCAAATGTATGTTACCCACTAGTTTATTAATATGTTATTTTATTGTCAAGAGTAACATAATTAACACTAATTATAATTAACTAAAAATTGATAGTAAGCTCAAAAATATTCAAACAGTCATATATTTAATCATAACATACATAATCAAATAGAAAATATTTGTTACAAAACAGTTGAATTTTAGTTTAAATTATAAAATAAATAATAAAAATTACTTAATTATTAAATTAACCTTAATCAGAAAAATACATAATGTAATAAGAATTTGATTCAATTGTTTGGATGACAATATATTATGAATATACAACTTAAATTATGGTTAGTGAAAAAAAAATCTTAAAACTTAAATTTATATAATACAAAAATATACTTTAAATATTATTTCTAATGTATAACATAAGTATTTAAATACATTCAATGAATGCAAAGAAAAAACTTCATTGTTTAAGTAGTTATAACAATAAAAAAAAGTTAAATGTATCAGGAAATTTTTAGGATAAAACAAAATAGAAAAGTATGAATATGGGAATCGAGCAATTCATATATATTCTAATTTATTTTCTCTATATTATAATAACATCAGAAGTCAAAATATATTGCCATTTTTGATGGCTTAATAACCTACTTTTGAATGGGTAAAATATAATTATGGGATACGACAAGAATTTTTCTTCTGATGCACTTTAAAGTTTGATTTAAATCTGAAAGCAGCGTTACACTTGTCACATTTGAATGGTTTGACACCAGTGTGTAATCTCATATGTAATTTCAAATATTTCTGGGTTTTCAAGATTTTCGAACAAATTTTACACTGAGTAAGATTATAGTCAATTATTTCTAGAGAAGCATTTTGGTTCTCATGGTTCTGGACATTTTTATAAGATGTAGAAATATTGGCATTATGGTTTTCTAAAATATGATTACCTAGAGTAACATTTGTCTCAAACTGTTGACCACAGTCTTTACACTTATACATATTTAAAATATGTATCTTTGAATGTTCTTGTAATGAAATATTGTCAGCAAACTTCATTTTACATATTTTGCAAAAGTGTATAATGGTATTATTTTTAATTACTGACATAGTTTCCCGGTTGGTTCTTTTCTTTCTAGGGTGTGTTTGTTTATAATGTTTGAATAGTTGTTTGTGTTTAGTTTTTAAATGTTCTCTGTAAGAAAATTTGTGTTTAAATGTACTTCCACAAACATTACAGGTCACAGGCTCATAAGTTTGTGTGTGAATTATGGCTATGTGGCGACTTAAATTAGCTCCACTACTGTACATTTTCCCACAAAATCCACATTTAGAACCATTAATGTGATTACTTCTGTTTCGTTTAGTAATCAATGGTTTTTGTTGAATAATGTCCAATAATTTGTTTTTTTGTGAACTGTTATTGTCATAAGTATTCAAATCGGTTGTGTCTAACACCTCGTTATGAACATTTTTTTTATGTACTGATCGATTGTAAGAGGTACTGTATGTTTTATTACATATGTTACATCTGTATCGACCAGATTTGGAAGATTTATTTGATGTAAACTCTGGAAGGTTACTTTTACAATGRCGACGACATTCCTTGCTCATTGTTATATGTTTTTTCCACTGAGATAACGAGTTATATTCTTTTTTACAATATCGACATCTCATTATATCTCTTGGACGAATAGATTCAACCTTTAGCTTACTAATGTTTGATTTTAGATTATTAGTATGCTGCTTACTTTTTAAATTTGCGTTGTATTTTTTGTAATGTTCTTTTAAATGCCAATTCCATCGAAATTTAAACTGAAAAGATCTATTACAAATTTTACATACATATGGGACAATTTCAGAATGTAACTTACGGTGAAAATTCAATTGAATTGGAGTAGAGAATTTTTCCTCACACACATCACAGGAAAACCATAAATGTTCTATGTTTATCAAATTTGTACCACTTGAATTTCCATCAACTGGACTATGAACAAGCTCAAAATCATTACAATGTTCAATTGGTGGTTCATCATTAACTTCAACAACTATATTGTTTTTGATTTGATTAGGCGTGCTTTCAACTATATTTTTTGATTCATGTTTTTTTTCATGCTTAATGTAAGATCTTTTACTACCAAATTGCATGTTACAATATTTACATTTATATGGTTTAAAACTATGAACACGCATGTGATTGGTTAAGGCACCAAGATGTGCAAAATTTTGTTTGCAGAACATGCAAACTGTTGATTTCTTCTCATTGATTTTCTTAACATTATTATTTGCTGGAACTGATAATTTGTGTTCATATTCATTAGTTAACACTAAATTTTTTGATAGAATGATTGATTCGTTACAATCAATCGTTGTTAATTGTTCTGGTGTGTTTGAATTCACATTATGCTTTATCATCATATGATTTGTAAAATAACAACGTTTTGAAAATTTCTTACTACATAAATAACAGAAATTCTTTTTTTTATGTTTTATTGATATTGACTCGGAATTAGTGTTATCTTCTATACTTATGTTGTTTTGGATCGGTTCAAGCTTAATATTCTTATTATTTTGTAGCAACTGTTTGTTTGAGTTGATGTGAGATTTTTCATGATTTGTACATGGACCTTTACTAGAAAATATTTTATCACAAAACCTACAGGAAAATGTTTGTGATTTATTCTGGAGAGTTTGATGAACCTGTAATGCAGTCTTGGAAGGAAATGCTTTTTTACTTGTACTACAGCTATGTTTATTTTTATTTTTTTTGACACTATTTAAACTTGATGTATCTGAACATGAATCATCCAATGAGGATATCTTAGATTTTCGATTTCTTAAGTTTTTACTAACTTGAGGTTCTATGTTTCCAGAATTAATAGAGTCTGATGTATTAGATTCAGTTTCTAGAGAATTAAACTGAACGGTTGACACATTACTATCTATTTGCTGTTGATGATAAGTCATATGATCTGTCCAAAGAACTACAGAGTTAAATGTTTTATCACACACAATACATTCATGCATATTACATTCACTGTGATCACTCATGTGTAATGCAAATGAATGTATATCTGTAGATGGAGAATTTTTACAAATTCTACATATAAATATAAAATTGTCTTGTGATATCTGATTATAATCACCATTGCAAAATTCATTTTTAATATTAGGCAATCTTCTAATACAGAAATAAGCAGTTTCTCTAACTGTAGGTACAATATTATTGTTTGCAACATTTATAGGGTTTCGTTCTGCCATTAATCCACGAGATTCATTTGCCAAAGTTGATTCATTTCTGTTCACTGCATCCATTTGATCTGAACTGTTCCTTTCCCTAGAATTTTCACACAAGTTTTTTTCTTGCTTTATATTCAAGGCAAGGTAATTGTTTGTCATTGAGTTATGTGAAGCTGTCGATACAATCGATTCATTTCTGTTTGCTAAATTTATTTCATCTGAACTATTTATTTTCTCGAGAGTTGTACTCGATTCTGGTTCTTGCTTAATATTTAGAACAGGGCTAAAGTTGTTTGTTATTGAATTATCTGGAATAATCGAATGATTATTTGATTGCTGTCTGGACAGCATTTGAGAATTGTGTAAGTTTAAATGACGTTGAAAATTTTCTTTGATTGTTGTATTAAAGAATTCTTCTTGTTTTATATTTACAATTTTATCTCTAACTAAGCGATATGGAACAGGCGTTGGAAAATATTGGCTCTCCACTAACCGTTCATCATCTTCTCTTGATCTCATCATTTCCATTCTTGGCCATGAACCAGTCGATACTATTGTTGAATTGCTGCTTACTATACCTGTTTGATCAGAAATATTTCTTTCCGAGGAATTCAATAAGATTTCAGTTTGTCCTGSATTTGAAATTATGTCATTGTTCGGGATATAGGTGTGTGAAGCAGTTGCTACTATTGTTGGATTGGTATTCACTAATCTGATATGATCTGAAATATTTCTTTCCGCAACATCACAGTAAAATAGTCTTCTATTTGAACTATGAAAAAAATCATTTACATCCTCAGTTTGATTAGATTCTCCAATTGTAGAATTTGTTTCAGTATTTACATTCAACATTGCACTTTGTTCAACTTTTTTGTGAACATCCATATGTTTTAGCCAACAATTCCTTTGACTAAAAAATTGTCCACAATATTTACAAGTATAATGTTTACAACCAATAATCGTATGATTTAACAATGATAGAGTACTATTAAAAACAATTCCACAAGCAGAGCAAGTTTTCTCATTATTATATTTGGTGTGAGAACTCTTTAAGCAATGAATCAAATGACAGTTTAAATGTTGTTGTTTTTTAAATTTTTGATTACACTTCTGACATTTAAATAAATGTTTGTCATGTATTTCTTCCAAATGATTATTCATTTCAGAAACTGAAACATAATCTGAGCAATATTTACACTGTGTTTGACAATTGTCATGAGTTTCCACATGTTCAACCAAATTCTTTTCACTGTAGCATTTTTGGAAACAGATATTACATTTAAATTCATTTGTTTTACTTTTCCAAACACCATTTAATTTGCATAATTTTATATTAGGAATAGTATCAAATTTAGTTTGATCATTTTCGTGGCTTTTTTTGTGTTCAACAAACTTAGATTTATCAATAAAAAGTTTACAAATTCCACATTTATACACGAGATTGTGATGTTTTTGAATGTGTCTGTTCAAACCAAATTTTAACTTAAACAGTTTTCCACAGTATTTACATTTATTATTTTTATAATTTACATGTTTTTTGTGTTCTGCTAAGTGATTTTTTAAAAGGTAATTTAAAACAAAGCTTTTTCCACAAATATTACAATGAAATATTTTGTCACTTGTGTTTTCTTCATTTAAGTCAGTATTATTATCTTCAATATCCTGTGAGAATAAAATGATTTATAAATAAAATAATAAATTAATGTACATATAATTTAGATATTCTTGTTGTATATTATCTATCACAAGATGTACACGATCCACCACTCATAATGCATAGTGTAGTATACAATCTACAATCAAATGTGCATATTTATACTCTATTACAAATAAGTTGGAAAAAAACCTAATAAGTATCAATACAGCCAGGGCCGTATTTACGCCTAGGGCGGCAAATTTTGTAAGAAATAAAAAAAAAAAATTACATAAATATTATATGCATTTATGTAACTGCGTAAATTAATATTATATAATATTTAATATAAGTATTTAGAAAAAAATAGAAGTAAATCCATGAATTTGAAACATTAGTTAATTCTTTGACCTGCGTCTTGATAAACTATCGTAATTGTAATGTAAAATCACAAATTTTTATATAGAAGACAGAAGTATATACATATAAGTATACAGAGTGATTGATTATTTTATCAAACAACACTCATTGTTTAAAAAAGTATTGACTTTTTCAAAATATTTTTTTACATAGTTTCAAGTTGTTAAAAAACCAACGTTTTATTAAAAAATTATATTTTTAAATATTTTTTTATCCTTGTCATTTTTTAAGTTTTTTTACTTTTTTGAATGACAACATAGAGTTTTAATTTCATATTCCAAAGCAGAATATTTTTCTAAGTATTTTGATTCATAAAAATTGAATTTAGGACGAGTAGTTTATGAGTTATAAGTATTTAAAGTTTAGATTGACAGAGTGGAGTGGTACGGGGTTACTCCGCAAAATGTTTGTCCACTACTCCACTTGCAAACTTTAAATACTTATAACTCATAAACTGTACTAAATTCAATTTTTATTTATTGTTCATCATTGTCGGGCAGTGCATATTASGACAACATAATATATTTAATAATTAATAATTCACGTATAAAATTTATAGGACTTAGCATTTTTCAACATGAGTGACGGTCGTAAACGTTTTAGTGRTTCAGAGTATAAAAAGCGAGCCAAAGATAAAGAATATAAAGAGAGTAAAGTTCTAAATAAAATACATWAACTAAATACTTTCTTTAAACCGGCTATACCTACTTCTTGGGGTAGGGACGGCATATTTAAAAGGGCCTAGGGCAGCACTTGTCCTAAATCCGGCCCTGAATACAGCATACAGATACATTGGTAGATTAGTACGTATATTTAGTTTTGTTGACTAGCGTCTGCTACTACAGCTAATTATAACAGTTTTATCTTTTTAAGGCTACACAGTTTTTCTTAACTTATTTGAAATTAAGAACAGAAGATTATCTGGACCTCAGTTATACAAACCCTCAATCATCCTAACTGCAATTAGAGTATTTGAACACTCGGTTATTTGAATTTCGCCAAAATAATATCATTAACATAATATGTTCCTACTTTGAGATTATATATTTTTAAAATTTAACTATAAATAATTAGAATTAGTTATTATCATGTTTAAATACATAATATATTACCATAAGTCATAATTAATCAAAGTAAATGAGCATGGTTTTTGCATTTCTAAATAAAATGTTTGTTGCTGCTACAGATTAATAAGAATTGCCAATAGAATTATCAAATTAAAGAGTATGCCACACCCGCATTTGATGTCTCAGTCTTACAAACATGTAACATAGCAAATTTAMACTCAGCAGTTCACATCTTATTCTGTTAGCTTAAAAATTAGAGTGAATAAATCTATTATGAAACTTTATGGGAAGAACATTATCTGTGTTTTGTTGGATGTTTTTTTTTATAATAATTYAGTTTTTAAGTGGGTTATGAGATTTTTTATTTTGCAATTAACTATACACGCATAACTCACTTAAAACTAAATTATTGTAAAAAAACTTCCAACAAAACAAACATAATTTTCTTACCATCAAGTTTCATAATAGGTTTATCACTCTGATTATTAAGGTAACGGAATAAGATGTGAACTGCTGAGCGTAAATTTGCTATGATATGTGTTTGTAATACTGAGACAACAAATGTGGGTGTGGTGTATTCTTAAATGTTATAAAATGTTAAATATAAACATTTAAGTAGATACAAAATTAGGTATCAAAAAATGTGTTTTTATCTAAGTTTAGGAATTTATAAATGTCTTCCATAAGAGCTTGGAAAAATAATAATTTGCGAACAGCTTTATAAAGGACTAAATTTGGATAGTTTTAAACTTATAAAATCATAATATTAATTGCGTATTCGTATCTCTGCATTAAGAGGACGTGATACCCGCATGTGTTGTCTCCGTCTTACAAATGCGTAACATGGTACATTTTTCGCTCAGCAGAACACGTGTAGCTCCGTTAACWTAAAAATTAGAGTGAACTGACCTCYTATAAWATTTAAAGGTAAGATTATTATCTAGACAACCTCATATGCTTTTTATTTTATAT